GCGGCGGACTGCGGCGGCCGCGGTGCTGCTGGTGGAGATGCTCGAGCGCAGCGCCTTCTTCGGGGTCTCAGCCAACCTGGTGCTCTATCTCAACAGCGCCAACTTCAACTGGGCCGGCCAGCAGGCCTCGCGCGCTGCGCTCATCTTCCTGGGCGCCTCCTACCTGCTGGCGCCCGTGGGCGGCTGGCTGGCCGACGTGTACCTGGGCCGCTACCTGGCCGTGGCGCTCAGTCTGCTGCTCTACTTCGCAGCCTCCAGCCTGCTGCCCATCACCGCCTTCTCCGACGGCCGCAGCTCCTTCTGCGGCGACGTGCCCGCCACGCGCCTCGGGCCCGCCTGCCCCGGGCAGGGCTGCCCGCCCGCCTCACCCAGCCCCTACTGCGCACCCACCCTCTACGCCGCGCTGCTGCTGCTCGCCCTGGCCGCCAGCTCCGTCAGGACCAACCTGACCTCCTTCGGCGCCGACCAGGTGGGTGCAGGACGCCCGCCCCAAAGAGAGGCCCCGGGGGTGGTGGGGGATGAACTCGCCAAGCAGCAGGTTTGGGGGCGTCCCCCCTGCTAGGCCAGACCTCAGGCAAACCGCATCCCCCCCCTGCATCCAGATAGAAGATATCCCTTGCCAGCTGCTGTCTAATGGCTCTGAACTCAGAGGGACCCTGTAGGACAGCGTAGAACTGCCCCATAGGGTTTCCAAGGCTGTAATCTGTATTGGAAGGAGGCCAGGTGGGTAGTGGTTTCACGTTGCACTGAGATCTGTGAAGTCACCGGTTCGAAACCACCAGTCTCTGTGGGAGAAAGACAAGGCTTTCTACTCCTGTAAAGAGTTACAGTCTCAAAACTCGCAGGGACACTTGTCCTATAGGGTCCCTGTGAGTTTGAATCGACTTGACCACAGTGAGTTGGGTTTGGGTTTGGAATCTTTACTGGGAAGAAACCCAAGGCTTGCTACTCCCATAAAGCGTTAGTCTGGGGGGTCGGGGGGGAAGAGGGGGAAGAAAGGGGGAATTGATCTCAATGATCGATGCATAAGCCCCCACCCTAACCCAAGGTGAGGAACACCAGAAAAATGGGTGAAGGGAGACAGTGGATGGTGTAAGATATGACGATAATAATAATTTATAACTTATAAGGGCTCATGAGGGTGGGAGGATGGGAGAGGGAGGAGGGGGAAATTAGGAGCTGATAGATACCAAGGGTTCAAGTAGAAAGAAAATGTTTTGAAAAAGATGAAGGCAACATATGTACCAATGTGCTTGACACAATCGATGTATGGATTGTTGTAAGAGCTATAAGAGCCCCCAATAAAATGATTAAAAAAAAAAAAGTCTCAGAAACCCAGAGGGGCAGTTCTACCCTGTCCTATAGGGTCGCGATGAGTCAGAATCGATTCGATGGCAGTGAGTTTGGTTTGGGTTTGGAATCGTACTGGGGAGAAAGAGGAGGCTTTCTCAGAAACCCGCTGGGGCAATTCTACCCTGTGCTGCAGGGTCACTGTGAGTTGGTATCAACTCAAGAACAACGAGTTTGGAATCTTTAGGGAAGCTCTCGCCCACCTTGCGGCTGGTGACTTTCGGTTAGCATCCCAGCATTTCACCCTGGCACCTCTGGGTCCCCTTCTCCCTGCCAGGACAGGTGCTAGGAGAGTGCTAACTGCAGGAGGAGCCTCGTGACCACAGTAGCTCTTGAGCTGTGTACCAGGTCCATCTGACGCACCTGCAGTGTTTTCAACTCAGTCAGTCCTCTCACCTAATCCCTGTGCACTGCAAACTGGGCACTCAGGAGCCTACGAAAAATGGAAAGACTGGAGGTGTTGAGACCAGGTGCCTTGGAAGAAAGGCCTGGTGATCCACATCTGAAAAATCAGCCACTGAAACTGTAAAGGGCACAGTTACACTTAAATACACACAGAATCACCTTGGGTCACAATCGACCAAGGGAACTGGTTGGCTTTTCCCATTTTGGCTCATCCTCTTAAGGCCCCACCCTGCTCATGGGCTGTCCTCGGGTCGGTTCTGACTCACAGTGTCCCTACAGGACAGAGTGGAACTGCCTCACACGGTTTCTAAGGCTGTCAACCTTTACAGAAGCAGACAGCCTCGTCTTTGTCCTGCAGAGCAGCTGGTGGGTTCCAGGCAGAACCTCCTGAGGTTGGCAATCCAGTGCTTCCCCCACTGGGCTGTCCAGGCTCCTTTGAATACGTCTAGGTGGATAAGAAC